CAAAGCGCGCGTCGAAATTCTCTTTCTCTTTGACCAAATCCTCTTATGAAACGGCGCTTTGTTAACGAAATAGCTACACCAGCTCGCTGCGTGTTTGTTGGTCGCGCACATGTCACAAATTAACTCTCGAAATGAGGCCAAGACTCGTTAGCGATACTAAACTCTATATAAAAAAGTATCACAAATATTCGAGTACAAAGGCAATCTAAACTCACATTAATCGAGTGCAAATAAACGAAATGACCCAGTGATTTAGGCGATATGTGAGATCGCATATCGGCGCTGGCGTAGCTTGATGGATGCTGTCAAATGTTCAAACAAGCCAGTTGGCAGCCGGCGAATACATTCCGAAGATCGGAATCATCCATCTGGACCCGTCGCGTGCTTGTTGTTTCAATTTTTTGTGCCGTATGTCCTATTCGCTGCTAATTCATTACACGGTTTTTAGTCTCATGTAAACTAAACTAAACTTCACTTCTATTGTTCTTCTCTTTCTTCTCGAAGTTTCTGACAATATCAGTATATTGTAAAATTGTATATTATTTACAGTTTTTAATATATACTCAATTTAATATACTTGTAATACATTTCTCCAAGTAGATATGCCCTTTTTGTAGATTATTGACGTTTTTCTTCTTTATTTCAACATACCTGTATTCATTCTTTTTATTGCTTTCTTTCTTTTATTCAATCTATTCGCGAAAACTTCTAATTGGTTTGCTTTTTGTTTCTTTACTCTTCTGCCTGTTGGTTAAGCCGCAAGTTATAAAAAAACTGTAACTTAAAATATTGCAAAAGAATTCACCGCTGCACAACGTTTGAAAAGCAAGCAAAACAACTGCAACAATGAAACATATTTGAAACGAGCATCAAAAATGTAGAACATTTTTAGACGACTTTGTTCCCGCATGTAAATTACGTAACGATTGTTGGGTTACTTTTTATTTGTTTTGTGTTTAGCTCTTGCAGTTAAGAGAATGGAACGCGAAACGAGCGTTTGCAGTAACGTATTGCGAGGTTGTTATGATCAACCTCGCCGTTTGTATTTATTCGTTGATACCCTCCGCACAATTCAACGAGTCGATTAGTGAAGTAAATTGAGCTTACGTCTGGCTCGATCCCACCGTATAAAATAGCCGGCAACAAAGGACGTGGAACTGCGGGAGCTATCTTATTATTTATTCACATCTATAACGAAATTCACCGACCCTCGTCAGCCCCCTCTTGCCCTACCGCCACTGCACTTTATTTCTCTTCCTATTTGATACTTTTCGTACATAAATACTATACGTAGATGTAAATATAATCTCAAGGCGTATTTAAACGTAATAACGCCAAATAAAAGTCGGGAACTCTCATTATTTATACATTCAGAAGATATGAAAGAGGTACACTCGCAAACTGTTAGATAATGTCGGTAGACACTCAACGCAGTCGTTGAAAATTTTATGTCACCTCACACTGCAACGTCGACTGCATTTCCCCTCCCATTTCCGCGCCCCGTTGACACTGAATTCTGTCGTCGCTTTATAGCGTTTGGCGGTTTTTATAAACGTATCTCTTTATTTAATAGCGCTTACGACTCGAAGAATGAGCTTTTCATCCAGTACTATCTACATCTTCACAATGTTAACGAGGCTTGTCGCCTCGATGTTAATAGCTTTTTTCATTACGAATAACCAGTTACTAGACGGATCGCGATGACATTATTGTAGGTTAACAAAAACCCGGCGCGAGTGGCGAATCCCTTTGTGAAGTCGACGCTCTTGCATATTTCCGTCCGTCCCCCGGTTTCTTTGCCACAATCCTGATTGCGACTTCTTGGTGCACTACTAACGGTTAGCACTGGCCCCGAAGCTCGTCACAAAGGTTTTCGAATTTAAAAACCACTGCTATTTTTGCCTTCACTCCCATTGTTGTTTAGTTTCGGCGAGTCACATTTTTACAATGCATTTTAAGAGAGAATCGCTGTTTTAATTTCGGATTTACGGTTTTTACAATAAAAAGCGGCTAAATTTTAATATTTTCCCTAAAAACGGCACATTTAGCAGTTACTTCAATGCTGCTCAACGTACTAGATCATTATTTTATATTGCGATAATGACGTATTGCGTGTTACATAATACTAAAAAAACATATACTTCAATAAAACTCCAACGTGAAACAATATGGCTAATTTCACTATTAATCGAACTGAAAACACGTTAACCAAACGCTCTTAAAATACAGCCGCCATAAAAACAATTCAACAATACGCTCACCACAAATTGAATGAGGTTCGAAATAAATCCCGCTGTCGTTATTTGATTTCCAATTCCCTCCAATTCGGATCTCACCCCTGTTTGTCGTTGTTCGCCATTTACCGTACGAAAATATCTCGTATGAACGTTATGAAAACCCGTAATAGGATTACGGCGGGATTGCAAAATATAACCCGACTTTTATCTGTAATTTTTATCGCGGGTAAACAGAAAGCGAGGCGTTAAATTGAGCGTCGAAATGGTGACTTGAGTCAATTAATACGAGGCGATCCGTAAATTTATTGTTTGCTGAAAAAGCTCGATTCTTATCGCCGGCCGGGGACGGGCCTTCCTCATTAGGAACCCCGAGGGCACCGCACTGGAAACCGGCGCGATATCGCAAGTGTTAATCGACGCCGTCGATCTATGGACGAAATCGTGTTATTATGTAATCGACAATCGAATAATCTACAGAGATGGCCCAGCACTGTTTGTATAATTAATTACACCTCCGAGCGAGCCCAGCCACTGAGTCGATAAGCGGTTTTTATTACGTCATTAACAAGCTTCAAGTGAACCGTTCTTAATCTATGCAATCAATGCCGGAAGCAATTATCATGTCCAGTTAACGCTAATAATAATTGCTATTAAAATACACGTTGAATGTTAATTGAATTCATTATCCGATCGTATCCAAAGATATTCTGAATTCAGTTTGCTCTCGTTATTGTATTAATTTATACGAAACGTTGCTCGAATAATTGAGTAATTGAAACACTATATTATACTCTCTGAAAATATAATTAATCTACATTATTAATTATTACGCCGGAACCTACCTAGGTTTACGAAAATACCTACTATGTTTATAACAATAATAATAATTATTAAGTAATTATGTTTTCTTACATTTGTATAATTATTGTATTATTCGTTTTAATAACACGCTATTGTCTCGTTATTTTTAAATAGTCATTAAATTAATTTATTTCGCCATGTTTGCAGTATATTTTTTTATGATCTAGCAACACTATAATTATTCAACTAGGTAAAAACAAACAACGGGAGGTGAGGAGGATCAATTGGGTGAAAAAATTAGACGATGACGTGTCATCTACAGCGTTCCATGGCAAAGCATGGATAGCTGTAGATGACTGTTACAATCTCTAATAGATTTTCAATATATAGATACCAACACGTGAAAAATATAACAGTTGTTAAAAGCAACTAAAACTTTAAAAGCTTTTTCTATAACATATTCAATAAATGTACCACTATCCCACACATTTTCATATGTATCGATCTTCATTAGTAATTAATTATTATCAATGCTCACGAATGCGTTGAAACATAAATTTTGCTGTTAATTCAGCCACGCTTAATGCGGTTACAATTGTAGGTATAATAACATTTAACAATCAATTTGATATCTGTTTATTCAAATGTTAAATTGAAATGCATGCGCTTCCAATTTGAAATCTGTTTTAATGTGTACACTAATTTATAGGAATTATAATTAATATTAGTTACTGTTTGAATTGTCTTGTTTCGCATTGAATGTTGAGCTTGAAATAGTCGATAGTTCGATTGTAAATTCGAATATCCAAAGCCAAATAGACAGATCACGCATCTTGTTTAGATATAATATGCCTGGGGTATTACCTCCCATCAAGTAAACGTCATCCAAGGCCATTATTGTCTGTGCTCCTCTGTCATAAAAAAAATAAGTTCCTGTTTGAAATGGTTATTACCTCTTACAATAGTTATGTAAGTAATTGGTTGACTATAAGCGTTTTAAACATTAAGTAGAGTAGCTACTTGAAGCACAGACCACTTATCTTAATATCTAGCAGAACATAAAATGTTAGCACAAAAAGAGATAACATATTCATCTAATTTTATTCTCCTCTTACATCGAGTGATTTTGTACTTTATAAACACTGAATTAGCATTCCCCGTGCGGTCTCTACGTCGACGATTTTACCATTGATATGAATATTTTATGCTGATTTTATTGCAATCCTTACGCATTCAAGATTTTCTTCGCTGAATTGGAACTCTATACACGGCCATACAAATCAAATACCAGCGTTCGAGTATGAACCTTTGTGTTCTTTGTGTGTATAAGGGCGAAACTGAGCGCATGATTTGATATCGATTGGACATCTTGCACACTTATTAGATTTTCTATACGGTTATGCCCGTATTGTTTATTATACGGGTACCGTGTTGGTATTTAATAGCAAATACATACAAATCCACGATTGATTTATAAGTATATTTTTCTATGTTAGACATTATATAATAATCTTATAATGTTAGAGAACGATCTCGGTAACAAATTTTGCAGTATCTCCGGGATTCAGATTCGTAGTGATGTACTACAATAGATATATTATGCATATCATGACTAATGCAATTTCTATCTATGCTTCGGTATGCTTTAGTACATTTCAGAAACTGCTACGTGAAACCTAGTGTGTTCACAGAGTATAATGGTTAATGTATGTCTGGAACAAAGGCGAGATCTACGATACAGAGTATGAAACTCCAAATTTGCATTGCAAACGATTTTTGCTTACAATTATTTATTTGTAATTAAATAATGGTCTATGCGTTATTATCGTCAATTGTTTGTTGGGTGGATACGTCTTAGTAACATAATAAATAATGTTTCTATATTATGTCAACTTTTAATGGAGTTTGATACAGAAATTATAAAAACAAAATGCAATAAGGCTAAGGAACAAGCTCATAGAAATGCGGCTAAACGCGATGCGCTCAGTTGACAGCAGTCAGCAGCTGTGGCGTTTTATAGGGCGGTCGGCGCGTGCGCGGAGCGGGGCAAAGCGGGGCGGTTCACGTCGACGACCGGCGAACATACCGCACTCTCGTCTCGGCCGTCTGGCCGACTGCGCCGTGTTGCACGCAACTGTCTCTCCATCCCCACGCATCTCTCGCGAACTCACGAGCCATTGTTATTTTTGTTCACTGACGAAATTCTCGTCTGTCCACACATCGGATGCATTCTCTGGATTTCAGTGTCTGAGGATTGCAGTGGTACCTGATGGATTTGGCGTGATCGTTTTGACACCGATATTTGTATTGTGACGTGCGTATGACATTAAGCTGGAGCTGTGCTGTTTGAATGTGTTAACTGGTGCTGCTCATTTGTATATGACGCCAGCAAGCCATTGAGAGTGTATACAATTGCCTTATTGCGTAAAAAAACACGTAAAGTGCTGATATTTGCGCTAAAAAAGTAAACAACAGTTGCCATAGTGAGGATCAAAGATTCGCCCAAAAGCAATGCTGAAGGAGGTGGTAAAAAAGAAAGCAAGAAAAAAAGCGGGAAACAGAAGAAGGATGACAACTCGGTGACGAACAATAAGGTTGATAAAAGTGAAAGGTGTGCTGTGAAAACGGAAAAAGACAATCAGAAGCGATCTACCGCCAAAAATGAATCTAATGCTGAGGTAGCACAATTTTAATAATAATAAATCATAATATCGTTTACATGGCGATTTAACGTCCTAATAATATTAATATCGATATAACAAACAACTATTAAGAAAAACGCTAATTATTTAACAATTTACTAAATAATTAATAACACAAAATAAAGCATATACAACTCTACTGTCTGTCATATATAGATAATCTTGATTTTTTCTCAAAAACCTTATCTTTGTATAAGCTTATAACCATCGGATGACGTAAATACATCTCGCAAACAAAGCACTTCAGACTCGTCTTGCAAAATGCATACCGTTGCGCAGCCAACTTCACGGTTTTAAATACAAGACAAATATAGTGGTAATTAGGATGGAAATTGCTGTTCAACCAAACTAGAAACCACTTTGGAGTTTATATACCCACGCAGCAAATTGTTCAATAAAGCTTCGTAAATTCCCCTTGTATATGAACTTTAAGAAGTTAAAGTATTTAAATTAATTGTTCTATAATGATCACAAAAAATTGTTTGAGTTGAAAAATAATACGCAAAGTATTTATTAAACATAATAATAGACGCATGGTAAATTATACTAAACATTTTGCTTTAAATTCTTTTTCGTAGTAAATTAGTAAGTATTATCATTCATGACTACAAGAATTTTTCAACAACGACTGTTTATACCGTAACACTTACAATTTGATGGAAACAGCAAAACTTATTTGGCACGTATAGTACTTGTAATACCAATAGCTATTTCGCTCGAATGCGGTCAAACATTACTGCAGTATTTGTAACGACATCATAATTATTGTGCTTTCCATTGGCCGGCTATTAATTCTAAATTTATGCCTAGATACGCAACGTGCTCTATAAATTATTTATAACATCAGAATGTCACAATATTAATTTGTTAAACGGACGAATTAAATTTACCACCTTTGAATTCTCCGAATATAGCTTACATAATTGGAACTGAATGAAATTAACATTAGCGACTCATTATTATTTAATGCTATTCATTCGACTGTCAGGCTTCTGTTTAATGCTAACAATAATTCCGTGATCATACTTATCAGCAATTAAGGTGTTAATGATCTATTGTCCGCGTTAATGTTAACATTTTTTATACTTTATAATACTTCATAATTACACCAATTTGCGTCAATATTGTATACACAAAAAAATCGACTTTAAAGCAAGGATTAAAGGCAAAACTTCCTTTGGATTTTACTCCGGGCATATAAATAGATCATATTTCATATGAACATGATTGATTGTTGGCCGATAAACAAATCAAACTCGACCGAGCTCTGTTTGCCGTGGAGGTGAGCGGTGCCCCCGGCATTATTCATTAGCTCCGCAAATGCACATAAAGCGAGACTGGATGTAATGATTATGAATATTTATTCCATCTGATAACGGTACACACAGATTAGACAAATGCTTCGTATTCAACTCATTATAATAATAGTTACATAATACATATTCTCATCATTATCATTTCCATGTTATGCCATGCAGCACCTTCCACATCTTTCGTAAGTTCTAGTCGAGCCTGGGTCGTACTCTGTTTTCTATTCTTCTAGAAAACAAAATAGTCTTAATTGCTCTTTTAATTTCCCGAAAGTTATATATATATATATATCTCTCTTTAGAGGATCCTGAGTAGAGAGTTTGCTAGATAATTGGTTTGAGAAAACCACGTCGCCAAAGCGAACAAGCTTTGTCAATGTGCTGGTCATGTCCTTTAATTTGTCACCTCTACGTATATTGCCGCGTCCGATCGGTTTACAATGCACGGACCGTCCCATAGTAGGAAATTTGGTATGCAGCATAAATTCGGGTCACGAACAAACAATTCTCGCGCTAAATATTCATGGCGGGCACTTAGTATTTTTTTCACACGAGTGGCACACAGGTTTATTTGTTCGGCCTCTTGAAAAAACCCGTCTATATACACTATTTTTATTCGGATCTTTTGAGTGTTATAAATAAAAATTTCGCGGGAATATTTCGCATGATTTGCGATTCGTGTTGTTTGTGTGGTTTAATGCGGATAGTAAACCACAATAAATTAAATAACGTGCAATAGATTAGTCACCGAGGGATTTACATTTTTAAAATTGGAACATAATAATGTTGATGGCAGCGGAGGAAATTGCACTGCAATATAATGGATTTGTCGCGGAAAAGCCGGGTCCATTGTAAATTTTGCCCTAGGCCATAATCGGTACTTCTTTTTGAACTTTGCTACCAGACTGTTCCCGTTGAAATTAAGTTCTACCCTATTAAAAGTTTGTATAAGTATTAGAATTTCGAATGAGGGGCGAGAAAGCTATCACGCCATTTTTCCGTCCCCCTCTTGCTTTTCACAACAATGGCGGGCCTCTGGGAGCACCTCGGCGCCTGTAGTCGTGAGATTATACTTTAATATCTGTTCTGAATTCGTAATTAAAATACCTGTTGTTTGAAGATTTTCATTATAGAGGGCCGACGGAGACACTTGTATATCAAACGGAATGTTAAGTCTGCAGCAAAAGCGTGACCTTATTAAAATAATCGCAACGACATTAATATTAAAGCGCGATCGATATTAGAGTCGACTTTCAAAGTTTAATTTTGACTCGGTTGACTAATGGGGTCGTTTATTTTTATTGCTAGTTTATTTAGAGTCGTGCGTGTTTCTGACCGGTGTGGGCTCAACGGAACTATTATTACTCGCCGACACGACATCACTCATCGCGCTAATATCTCTATGATTATCTATTTTAATGTTAAGCCGTTTTGACAAGCGGCCAACGTTCCAACTCGCTACAAACAATTCATTGTTAATAACGACGTTTATTTATTAACTCGAAGAATCAGAAAATTGGCTTTAATGGCCGTGCCAACGTTATAAATACTCGCTCATTTATTTTTGTTTTTTCGCGTTTATTTTCTCGAGAACGTCTTTCTTTTAAAACGTACGACACTCAGAAGATTACGCTTAAAATTTATGTTTATTTGACTTTTGAGACTGGATATCGTTACACTATCATTATAGTATTTCAATTGGACAGTTATGCTTTATTGGCATTCAGCCGTGGCCCACATTACAAAGCTGACATGCGCGTTAAAGATTTCAATCACGCTGGTAATAAACTGATTGCCATAAATACACTACGTAAAAATACTGTGTCATTATTAAATCGTTTTTGTGCTTTGTTTGTAACAAATAGCTACTTAAAACCCTGATTAATTTATATTTAATTAAGTAAATCAGTGACCATGTAACAAAGGTTATTTCATGCATAGACAATCGAGCATAGCTTCGTAATTTGTCACCCGTGAAATTGAATATGTACGTGAGTTGATATTACGATTGTGTTCGCTTTAATAACGCTCTAATGGACAAGAGGACGAATTCTGGGAGCATCGGGCGAAGGGCGCTGTCGACAATCAGTGCGGCACCTTTGTACACCTCTTAAAGCCTGCCGGCGGACGTGAAACCGCCACCAGCAGGCACGCGCCTGATTTATCATTCCATTGTTAGTCGGCGAACAATCACGCCGGATAAGTAAAGTCAAATTTGCAACTATTTTCTCAAATCAAATGAATCTTTGAAGCTGTTGTATAATCATTTTTCAGCAATCTTGCAATATACCTTCATTTCTAATACTCATAAATGCGATTTAGGCTTTTAGGTACTACAAAAGTTGTTTTTTTTGGTTGGGTGCATGTAAAAATTTAGCTTTTACAGAAGTAATTTAATGTTACGCTTGAATATGTATAGAAACACCCCTTTTTATTTCTAACGCTTAACTTGTTGCGATAGTAATCTGTTTGTTAATTCAACTCGGTTACCCAAATAGTTTTATTGAGCTATTTCCCCGGCGATCGTAAACGTCCGCAAAGTAATTACTTTCATTCCCAGTTAAAGACTTCAGTTCGCCTCGTTCATAAATATCTTTAAGATCGCCTTTTATAATGCCAATCGACGTTAAAACGTTCATTTTTCTCGATCGTCCCGTTTATTACCTGAGATGAAAAATATATTTTTTTTTATACCTTCCTGTCTACACTTTTTATCGTCCTATTGACTTGTCTCGTCAATTGATGCAAAAGACAACTTTAAACGACAACGATTATCTGCTATTTAAAAATACTTAGAGGCTGTATTCGTAACGAGATACATTTGGGTTAATATAAAATAAATTGCGATGACACCACAAAAAATAACGCGAAAAGCAGTTAGCGTTTTCATTGTTATTTTTATAGGCTTATAATCCGGATATGTTATGAAGCCACTTGTGAATATAAATTGTTTACATCTACTTATAAGTTTTAATGACACATACTTATTAGGAGAACAATAACGGCAGCATAATTAATTGTTATGTTTTATTGTTATAGGCGAGTCCAGAAAATAGTCGAAATGCCTCTCCGCGATATCACGATGCATCAATGGACGATGTGAGTACATTTCCTGTGTTTTTCCAGAAACTTATTTTCTCAAAATAAAACTTGTTGAAGTAATATAGTTTTCATGGATGTTGTAACAAGAACATGTTATTTTTAGGATAGTTGTGTACAATTATATTGTTGGTTAGGCTACATGAAAAAATCTTTAGAATTAATAACATGTCATATTTTGTTTCCAGGCGTCGGATGCCGGCTCTCTGTTCCGGGTGACAAGTGGAGCGGGTGGAGGTGGTGGCAAGAGCGAACTGGTAGCGCGTGGCGGCAGTGGCGGTGCTCTAGCCTTGTCCCGCGCGCCCGTCGGTGGCAGCGCTAGCCCTGCGCCAGCGCCGTTACCCCAGCCCGCCCCTAGTCCTGCACCTGCAGCACTTCCCCCACCCGCTTTGCCGCCACCACCCTTCCGAGCAGATACCCCACACAGACCGAACGGTGCTCATATCCCAGCTATAGACGGACAGGCGGCCACACAAATACCGGCGCGGCCCGTTGGCGCCGCAGGACCGGACACCCCAGAGCGACCAGCTAGTAACAACAAATTGCAGCCGGGTGCACGAGCTGCCGCCGACAGCCCTACTCCCGCCCCACCTGCCCCACCCGCACCTTCACCCCTCTTTCCCTCGCACACAGCGTACCAGGCGCACGCTGCTGCTCTACCAGACTTTCGTCTCACTAATCATGAAACGCGGACAGAACCACCCGCAGCCGAACAAGCCCATGCCCCTCTCGACCTCCACGCGCATCATTCCTCCCCGAGGCCGCCACAAGTCGCGCCAACCGCTAACCAGCCGGTGCATCCTAGTCTCCCAAACAGAGCGCCGCATCCGCAGCCCCACACCGTTGTCCCCGGTCACGAAGTACGAAGCATCCCGGCAGCTCAGCCCCATCCGCCCGTTCCTACCTCGTATCCTAGCCGCGTAGCGCCAAATGTGCCACAAAATAACGTGCCACAGATGCCCATGCCGACTACGACGGGCTCAAACTGTCTTCCGAGTCAAGTTCAGGCTCCAGCTCCACGCTCGGCCTCGCCTGCGGCGTCTTCCCGACCATATCCTACCCCGATTATCGGCTCTAGTCACGGGAACTCGAGTATAAGTTCTAATATTCACCACGCGATACCAGGTTACCCGAGTCAGGCGAATTTACAGAAACATTCCGTACCTTACGCGGGCAGACCTTCGCACCTAGCGCCGTTCAGCGTCGCTAACCATATATCTTCCAGTCATTTGCCGTCTACCAAGGCTCCGACGCCTACGCATTTAAGTCATCCTATAAACAGCCATTCCATTTTGAACCACACGAGTCATATACCAATGACCGCGCATCCGCTGGCGTCGACGCCGAGTCACGTCGGCCAGCCTCTCTTTTCCACTGCGACTGCTACAAGTACCATTTCTAGTTTAACGCCGAGTATGAAACCACAGAGCCTGCTTCCTCCTCCCATGACCCCTTCACATCCCACCCACATGGATACGTCTCCGGTGACCTCTGCGCCGGCCATCATTACGTCTAGCAGCAGTAATCATCTGCCACCGCCAGTGGTGGATACAAGATCAACAGTAGCTGAAATGCAGTCTAGGTCTGATAGCGTGGCGGTAGTGAGCTCTTCTCTGGCACCGAATGGTTATCCCACCACGGGAGTTTACTCTAACGCCTACCCGACCCTATACGCGCCATATGCACCCACCCTACAGCACAGTCCCTACCTACCGCCGTCAGCTGCCTCACCTAGAAATACTGCTGACACGGTACGTATATTTTTATTCACAATAACTGAATATTTATTTGGGTACAAACATTTATATAATACTTTAAAACTCTTATTATTTTTTTATTTAATAAGTACCTCTCACCGCAAGCGGTAAAATTCAACAAACATTTATTCTATTTCAAAGTAATGGATAATATCCAACTAGTTAATTTAGTTGAGGAATCGAGGATTGTGTAATGATTTAGTACTAAATAATTGATTCCAGAGGACAAGTCTAGCGGCTTCACCACTAGTTGCTCCCAAGACACCCAAAGGCGTCCGGCCGCACACACCTGGTTCACTTGGTGGAGCTGGTGTCCATGCACCTTTATCCTATTCACCTCGCACGCAAAGTCCCAGCAGAGAGAGAGAAAGCTTTAGGTAAACCTGAAAGATAATCAATTCCGTTATTGCACTTATTAATTGGCTGATTTAGCAATGTATCGCATGTTGAGTAATGCAAAAAATTGATTGATGTGTAACAAGTTTAATTCATTGTTATTATAGACTGCGTGTCCAGCAACACTATATTTTGCTAAAGGGTTAATTAAAACTCGCGTGCTTGCTACACTCATTTACAAAGTAAAACCTGTAGCTTGATTTCAATTACATTGTATAGTGGAAATTGCTATGTACCAAAATGAACGTGACAGTGTTTTTACCTAGTATTGAATTAGTATTTGTCATACTCATATATAGTTAGGACACATTGAAATTACGGCTTCTAAATAAAACACTTTAACGGTTTAAAACGCGATATATTACTACGCGGCAGTAGCCGTGGTCACGGCTGCTGCATAGCATCCGAAACGTCGGGCCGAAGTTAAAAATCATTTTCAAATAAGTTTAACTAATATATCGCGTTTTAAACCGTTAAAGTGTTTTATTTAAATGTGTACTACTCGCGTAAACTATAGACAGTATTACGGCTTCTTCTAGATTAACTTAACTTTGGAGTAATAAATATCTATGATTCAATAAAAGATGTCGATAATATTTTGTCCTATTTAAAACGTTGGCATCCTATGGCAGGTTGAGTTGTTTCGTTACGTAACGCGATATGCCGCCAGTCAATCAGGGTTTCCTTTCTCTTACGGCAGGTTCTGTCGAACTACTAACCCACGATGCTAGTACAGTGCCTGACAGCAACTTAGATTAGTTAAGTATTTTCAGAATTCTAAAATATTATGATCTTATCATTTCAGCAACATCAGCAGCCTGTCTCGCAGTACGCCAGCGTCAGCCGTCAGCGCGCCGTCGTCCGCTCCATCGTTGGTTCCCACGATGCCAGCCCCATTAGCAGCACCCCTTGCTGGCCCTCTAGCAGCGTCGCTGCCCGCCCCGCTAGCCGCGCCGCTACCAGCACCACTCGCCGCTCCATTACCTGTAAGTTTTTTACCTATTTTATTTCAATACAAATACGTTTATTCAGAAAACAACACAAATTTACAATGATAAACTTATTTTACAAAGATAATATTTTAAATACAGATAAAATAAAATTGTACAGTTTCCATAAAATTTACAGAATATTCGTACAGTTTCCATATAATTCCCTATAATTGGGACCAATGTCCCAACACTAATAATTTATTGATTTACTGATATTCTGTGGCCTCGTTAGTAATTTATTAAAATTACATAACATTACCAACACTATGTGATTGTCACAGGGTCCCGTACCGTCTCTAAGTGGACCTGTGGGCTTGGCACCCCAGGTTGGTGGTTTGAGCGCGTTGACAGGACTGGCAAACCTAGCGGCGCCTACACCAACAGCGCCGCAACCCGCACCACACATTTCACATTCTTTGGCGCCTGTGCCAACCGTTCCGAGTATCAGCTCGAGCGCAAAACCGCCGGCCCACTGGGGGGTAACGTGAGTATACGACGCGACTTCTATTTTAATTTATTTGGTGTTAAAAACGCCAGGCTTTGATCACGATTTTGTTAAATAGCTAAATTACGTATGTATCAGATAAGGGAGGTGTCTGAAGACGATAAATAAATAAAAAAAATGGTACATATTAAGCCATAAAATACTAAAAAAAAAACAAGAATTTAAAATCATGTGTATACTAAATCTACTATATTGTGATAAACTTAGCGAAATTATTTTTATATAGATACTTCTACTACACTTAGGAATTAAAATATTTAGATGTTCATACAATTTCCAGCAGGCCGGCCCCAACGGAGCGCAGTGCTGCGTTCGCTCCCGCCCCACCACTCTTTGGTGCTCCGCTTGCGCCTAACCCTAACCCGTTTTCTGCAGAATCCCTCTTCCAGTCGAGTAAGTGCTTAATACGTTATGTCTAGTCGATGACAAACTTCTTGGCTGAAATTTATAAAAAATATGTTTCTATTGACATATCGTTTTAGTCAAAGTTGCCAGTCTAATCATCCCAAAACACATATTAATGTCACATTGTATCAATAATTTCATACCAACCTGTCCATTTCACAGTAGATCTTATCGTAATTATTAGAGAGTACCCCCCAAATCTACACAATCAAGTCTTTATCGTCAAAAACATTCTTGTGTTACTATTTACTTAGCAAAATAATGAGATTACGTAGAATCATTTATGTAATAATAGTATTCAACTTTAACAATTTATACAATATAATTATTATTACAGGTCCTGGCGCAGATTTACTGCGGCGCGAGCTGGACAACCGGTTCCTAGCTGCTGCAGGTGCAGTCGGCGTGCGAACGGAACTGCACCACCATCAGCACCAGCACACCCACGTACATCAGCACCCACCTCATGCACCGCCCCATCCTCACCAGCTACTCGTGCCACATGCGCCCCTTGTAAGTATATAAAGCACCTTTCTGCACTTACTTAACGATTAGACCCAGCATATATATGTCAGATAGATACAATTATTATTTTATATCCTTACACTTCCTAAGAATTCATTTATATTATACAACTGTCTCGTTGGTCTAATCGTTAGCGTACTCGACTGCAGATTACGAGGTCTTGGTTTCTAATCTCGGGTCGAGCCAAATGTTATGAAATGATTTGGGTTTTCTTTTCTAATACGAGAGCTTGGAAAACAGCACCATGTACTTCGGTGACCACGTTAAGACGTTGGGCCCGGTTACCACCTTCTCTTCTATATACTATACCTCTACCAAGCAAGAAGACATAATAAATTGAAACGAAACTGAATAACTAAGTCTTATCCATTGTTGTACCCATCACTGTTCGTACTGGGTATGCTGGGTTATACGGAGCTTAGAGTGAGAAGGGAGTTGCAACGTATGTTATAAGGGGAAAAGAGACCAATATGCAAATGCTGGAAAGAATGAGTTTGTTAGTACCTGATCAGTACATACATAAAAGGTATCGCCCAAGTCTTATAAAAGTACCCTTTCATTTCTCAATCGAATTTGTTAGGAAAAGCGTCCTGGACAAGAGCAATAGAGGTAGTAAACTTCCTTTATAGGCAAAAAGACATATTCTGTGATGCATGGAGTGAGCTCGTGAAGTGTTTACAGTTTATGATTTCATATGGATTATAAAATAATAAACTGATAATTAGTAATAGTAAACTTACTTTAATATTAGTTAATAGTTAATTATAAGTCATAGTTTAATTGTATTCTATATTCGTTTTTAAGTTCAGTGTCGAATTGGGCTCCCACCTGTCATGACATTGTAATTTTAATTATTAAATAAATAAATTATTTGTTCATAATTAATATCTTATTTTTTAGTTCAAAGACGTCGGCAAGATGTCGCCACTTTACCGATCCGGATTGGGGTTGTATCCGTACTCATCCAGTTTGCTCCACCCCGCAGCACCATACGTTCCGCCGGCACCACTGACTACATACGCACCTAAGGTATACCGCCCCACTAATTTAAAGATAGCCGTCTTACTTATTATCAGGCAATAGTTATACTTTGTCCTATTTACTCAAGTATGAATTCCAACATGTCTAAAAGCGACGGCAATAATATCCAATGCCACCTCAAATGATAATGCGTAAGGCGGTTAAGATTGAGACTAAGGTCACGTTATAAAATTGTATTGTAAGTGATTAAGAACTAAACAAACTAGGTGTTATTCATCTATTGTTGTTTGTACATACTTTTGAATGATAGTAGAATAAAAATGATTTAATAGAAATCTGTTTAACCCAGTAAATAGTTTCCTTCAGTACTCTATTCTTGTATTTATATGGGAATGGTTTTGTAGTGCAATAATCATAATCGTAATACTATATAAGGTATCAACTGCCATTGAAGATTTGCGTTTATACTTTACGGATTACTTATTGCCTGCTAAAACTAACTTGTATAAAGCCTATCTTAATTCTATGCATTTCTTAGATAAACATTTCATTTTAGACAATTGCCGGTAATTTAATTACGTATTTTTATTTCACAATCCCTTCAGTTACTGTCAGTAGATAAAATATTCGTGAAAAAATTGTGAGATAAAGATACATACTAGTTTTATTAAATTCAGGGTTGTAATTCATTCTTATCTTGCCTCCTAATTAAACACCACCGTAACGTTGTTGTGATCGGTTGCTTTGATCTTAACTGTTAGTGTATAGCAACTACTTATAGAATGAATACCAACCCTCTCGAATTTCTTCATCATTGGTCAGCTTAGTGCTTTCCTTTATTTGCACAACATACATTAACTTTGCCTCCGCATCATGTTAACAGCCTGTAGTGTCATCAAGCGACTCGACCCCTAAACTGCCGCCACGCCCCGCCATAGCGGTAGGTCTTTTAGCACTATTCGCATGCACCTTTCACTAACTAGATGCTGTTTCTTTTCTTTTCCTACATATCTTTTAAAATCGATTTAAGACTAAAAATGTTGGTGCCACCATCAGAAATACCGACAGTCTACTAAATCTTTTTAAAATAATGTTATTAATATATAAGCTTAATTTTAAAATATACATATAGATCAATATTATAACCTCCATATAAACTTAATACATGTTTTGATATCTAAACAGATCTATAAAGTGAAAAAATAAAACGGGACTAAGTAATTTACATAATATGTACATTCTCACTTTTTATGGATCAAATTGTGCTATATGATGTGTCTTTTATTTTATTTAATCGAACACGCAGCACCTTGGCTGTGCTTACATATTCGATTGTTTTTATTATTCTTACAGTTTTACAATAAATATAAATGAATATTAAGTTTTCTTTCTATCTCTTACAGAAAACTGGCAAATGGAACGCGATGCACGTTCGTATCGCGTGGGAGATTTATAACCACCAGCAGAAGGAGAAGAGCGGTGGTGGTGGTGTTCCCGCCATGGACAAAGACAAGTTAAGGAGCTTTCCCGCTCCAGCTCCTCCACCACCGACATACCGATCGCCCTACGATCTACCGCCACCTTATCTACATCACGCTCCACTAGGTATAAAGTTCAATTTAAATTAGTCTATTTAATTTAGTAACATTAAAATGCTGAGGCAATTTTAATATACACAAACAGTGTCTCAGGTCAATATTTCAACCTTGTGTTTCTACCTCACTGTTGTTAAATAAAAGTGACGAATATTGACCTTAATATAAATAAGTATGTTCATATTCATAGGAATCGTTCGTCACCCATCACGTGCGCCTTATGGCAGTGCGCCACTTGGTGCTCCGGAACGCGAACTTGGTGTACCCGGGGTTTCTCCCTTCACCCGGTACGGAGGCACGTACCCAGGCGCCCCTCCTTATGGTCTATCATATGGACGGGAACTGGGTCTCGCTGGCCCTCTGCATGGAGTACACCATCCCCTCGGAATGCATGACGCTTGGCGGGCCGTCCGACCGCCTGTCTCCACTGCGGCTGAGGTGCGCCGAGAACACGAGGAACGCGAGAGAGCGAGACGGGAAAGGGAAGAGCGAGAGCGCCGAGATCGAGAGGAACGCGAGCGGCGTAAAGCGCGTGAGCAGAGGGAACGGGACCTCGAGCGAGCGAGAACGCGATCACCCCTGCGCAACGGAGTGACAGAGCAACCCAAAGACGAGCGGAAGGAACCGCCGCGTCCGCCAACACTACCGTACCCTCCACCACACTGGGATCCCTACAGAGCAGCATTCGATCCCCTACAACATATGCGCTTCGCCCCACTAGTGGAGGCGGCGATAAGGGCGGAGGAGGATCGAGCGAAAATGCTGAGTGCCTACGCTCACCATCAACAGCTAAAGTCCAGTCCGCTATTGCACCATAGAGGGCCCGTGGGTGCGCCGCTTCCGCCTATGGGTGCGCACATGGCTCCGCTGGCGCCTCTCGCGCCGCCTATGGCCCCGCTCGCCCCCCTCGACCTGCTCAAAAAGGAGGAGCCGCGATGATAGCGGCATCTCGCGATTCGCGAATGTAAATAGTGTAGCGTGATCGCTGAGTGAGAGTATGATTTAACCTTCGGTCCGGCAGAGCAGGCCACTTGTGCTTGTAACTCATACACTAGTCTAGACTTGGTGAATTTGTAACTATACTTTGTCTAATACAGGTGATTAGTTCCACTTTTTTCTGGTACACTACAAATAATATCGTACGTGCCGTTACTGCCCATTTTGTGAAGTGCCTTGGAAATAAATAACCATATGCAATGAAAATCTATGGAGAATATACACATTTCACATAACAAATTAAATTCAACTTACATAAAATAATGAATTAACTGTTCACGAACGATTACGATTACACACTCATTCGAGATGAATTATTGTAAATTGCTACTTTTCATTCTATTTGAGACAAAGTATGAGTTTAAGCGTGGCTAAAATGGAGACTTAATTCGTTGTTGGAAAGTGACATGAACAATTTCTATATTAAAATATAGTTCCACTCGCCTCGTCTGCCGAATCGTTGCGTTTAGTATTATCGGTTTAGAAAATTATTTATTGTAACGTCGCTTGCTGAATGGCCGCCGGGCGCGTCTCTCTATAGTGTTATATTATGTCGTAGTTTTAAATTACATACAAATTATACGGTAACTCGTTCTCCTCTGGTATCGTGGATGGGTTACTATATGCTTGTATTTATTGTGGTAGTGCGGACAGGAGGGACGCCCCCGGGGCGGTGGGGCGCGTGTGTGCAATATAAAGCTGGGTCTACATGCAAATGCTACCTTGTAGAAGCACAAGAATGGCTTGGCATATTTTCCCTAGGAGGTTGCTAACAACTCGGTTAGTCAGCTGTGACCCGGCTTAAGACGAGATCTCGAAGCGCCCTGTAAACTACCGCTTGTTTATTTACATGAGATATCTATCAAGTTGTTATCGTGTCACCATCATTAGTTAATTATACATTCGATCGCTGGTTATGTGAAGATAGATAGGATTAACGGAATCGCTATCGATATAGTTATTATACATATTTATATATACTTATAAATAAATGTAAATATTAGATTGTAAATTAGAAATTAAAGTATAGAATCGGTTTATTTAACGTCATACAAATGAAAGAAAATCCCATAAATTATTATTGTATCGGGAGTTTAATTATTACTTCCGTTAAAAATCTCAAAATGGTTTTTCAATTGTACCAGTGGTGGTTCGTTTATTTATTTTATAATATATGTACTCTTTTTCTTCCGTGATTTTTTAGAAGCAATAATTCTGTTGTATTAGCCATTCACTCTTTGCATTTAAAATATGTGATATTATTATATCGTATAACGCTCGTTTTGTCTGACTTCAGAGTAGTGTCTGTTTGCAGTTAGATAATATTACAGTGATGATATGTAAAAGGCGTGTTACACTTTTCCTCATTTTAAAACATTATTCGTGGACATCAAGTACAGGCTTCCGTTTTAATTATTCTTTAGACATACTCAAAATGTGCCATTGTTTTGTATTTGATGTAACGTTGTAGTCAGACAAAATTGCAACTATATGTTGGCACTCTTTTCCATTGGTTGAAATTATGTTGTACACAATCTAAACAGTAACTACAAATTATAGACACCTTAAAATATTGCTGGGACCACCTTTGCGAGGCAATAATACTTTAGGTGGTTTGAGTTAGTTTTTGTACAACACATTTTCTTACCAGTGTTCTCTTATAAATCGGAAATGTATAGTTTATACAAAATCATTCTGTATAATAAAAGGTAAATGAAAGCTTGGTGCGATTCAGAAAATACCATTAAAACTTTTGATTTTTATACCAATTCGAGTTTTTATATTTTTACCTATTTCTTTATGACTAGCCCATTTCCTTATTGCAAGGGAAACCTTTCAACAACACAAAACATCCTACTATTTATTTTCACCAATATATAGAATGATAATTAAAACTTTTCCTTACAAAACGAAATAAAAACACGTGCTGTTGTCTACAACTTTAATGCATCAAACCTTTAGATATTGTACATGATGTTGGATGGTTTTCTAGAACATTCTAGTAAACAAGTAAATTTAAATAAAAATGGGTTGATTATGATTCTATTTACTTTAACAATAATAAATTACCACTTGTTCAACAAATTTTACTTCCTATACCAGATTTGAACTGTCTTCATTCTCTTGACTTTCTTTTGCAATTGTAGGACTCCATAAAGCAAGGCTTCAGCAGTTGGTGGGCAACCAGGTACATAGATATCTACAGGTACGATACGGTCACATCCTCTGAAATAATAGAAAAACATGTATTATGTTATTATTCATTACATAAGCATAAGCCATATAACCTTTTATTTGGCTACTTGTAAATTTTTTTACAAAAATTCCTTCTAAGCATAAGTCATGTTCAAATTATATGTAATAGTATTTTAACTGTGTGCTCTAACCAATTGAATATTATAAAACAACACTAAAGCATATAACTCAACAAAAATCAATCAAGAATGTGGACCAATTCAGAAATTTTAAATTTCTTTAAACCTATGGGTTAATATATATAATTAATAAACCAACTCTTAAGCTTTATATATTGGTCTAATGTTAGCAATCATTATCCACTAGCTAAGTCAGCGACATTGTACGCGTAAAATAATTATTTTGGGTATCAATTTTTGTTTTGCAATCCTCCTATTTAAATCTATAAATTTAAGCTACCGACGACGTCGTCCGCGTCCTGTCGTTCTTGCAAATTAATCTTACAAGATAGACATATACTGTCGGGGACTTTTGTTAGATCATTTAAAGAGGGATCATTCTTTCATACATATTTTTTGGGCATCTTGAACCATTTTCGCAGCCTAGGCAATGGAAACCCACAAGGATGAATTATTTTTCCCGTTTTTTCGACATTTCTAGCTTCTATTAGTCACAGTGATATGTTTCAGAGCCTATATATTATAGCCTCTCTCAATAAATGTTCTAACCAACACAAAAATAATTTTTCAATTCGAACCAGTAGCTTCTAAGATTAGCGCGTTCAAATAAGCAAACAAACAAACTCTTCAGTTTTATATATTAGTATATAGTATTGCTAACATTAGACCAACAATACGCTAGAAACCTTCCAAAAGTAGTTGTAAGTTTTACTAATCTTATTCCTGTGAGACAAAGTTTATTGGTCATGGACTGACACTATTTATCATGCCAACTGAATCACTTGGAATTCCTTTGAAATTCATACATTTGGTAAACAGTTCATGTGATCATTTTAAAACTTGCTTAATTTCTTTTAATAGTTTGTATTTATTATTTTTATTTTTTATTATGTACAATGATTCTTTTACATTTTTATTCACATCACAAACTTGGAACACATGCAAAAAACCTAATCTCAATTTCTTTGTAACATTATTTAGGTATAGAGTTTCAGTTTAGTTTTTATGTCATCTTGTCTTTCGTTAAACAATAATAATTGTTAAAACTATATAAGAGATGCTTACCTGACTACTGAGTAAGAGTAGTGATAATAACCACCGCCATTAGCACAGCTGCCCATAGAAATAACCCATCTAGGATCAGGCATTTGGTCATAAACTTTTCTCAATGCTGGTGCCATTTTATTTGTGAGAGTTCCAGCCACAATCATAACATCAGATTGGCGAGGGGAAGCTCGAAATACTACTCCATATCTAAACAATAGTTTTAAATATTTTAATAATTCTGAAATGTAGGATGTGATTTATCATAATAAAGAATACTGAATATATACATTTTACTACTTTTATATGACCTAATTGCTCACATAAAAAAATATAAGGAAACTATTGTAAAATATCAAAACAAATACTATTAAGCAGTAACTTTTGAGTCAACTAAGTTAAACTCGAAATAATATCATTATATAGTATACAATATTGATCTTACCTGTCCATGTCATATCGGGGTGCAGCAATGTGCATCATCTCAACAGCACAACATGCCAAACCGAAAGTCATTGGCCATATAGAACCCTTCCTTCCCCAGTTAAGTAAATCGTCAAGTCGAGCGACAGCATACTCTGCCATATTTGTAGTGTTTTGGAAAGGCGAATAGGGCCGTCTCTCTGCTGGGTCAGGGGCCGGCAAGTGTGTTTGTCGTACTTGATCGAGGATTGGGGTAAACGCTCCTTTCTTCAACACAGAGAGAACGTTGGAAGGAGCCGCGGCTCCTATGGCTTTCAACGCCTGCATATTGCCTAAAAAGCACGCAATTCGTTTAAATAGTTTTATTTCTTGAAAATATTTAACAAAACTTGTTTCACTGCATTTCATCTTACCTAGCTTTTAATATCCTAATATATCACACCACTTATGTGGCGTGTAAATTACGCTTAAAATTAAATAAAAATATTTTACGTAACAACAAGCATTCACATTTCACAATTTGCACATAATAGTGTCAATCAGTGTCAGTAGTCAATGTCAAAACTGTGGCTTTTGGGATCAGACAGTTGACAGCTTGCAATGACAAGTTTCTGTCAAAAGATAAAAAAAAACAATACAAAGATTTAAACTGTAAAGTTTGCTCAAACTGTAATTAATTAAAATTTTAAATTTCTAACTTTAATTATGAATGGAACACAGAAGGTGATGATCCAAGTGATGTTGAATTAAAATTATGCTCTTTAATAATCGTTATTATTTAATTTATACAGAGCCATGTGCAATAACATGTAAAAATATAAAAGTTTTTAGTTATTATTTTTAACTTTTATCGCTTTTAGGCCAAAAAGTGGTTTAAACCCTTATTTGAATTTGATGAAACTGAACCTGTAAAGAAAATTAAGAAGAATATACCCAAAGCCAATGAATCTCAAAAGGAAAGAGTACAGGTAGGATCAAAACATAAACTTATTATAAGCAATAACGTCATACAATAAAGTGTAATTTCAATAAAACTTTTAACTTCACATTATTTTTAGGTTTCTAGTTATCAAAACAACAACACAATAAGTAATGCAAGCTGTAAAAGTTGGATAAAAAATTTTGATCCAGTTAATGTTGAAGATCTTGCTGTGCATAATAAAAAAGTTCAAGAGGTGGAGGGATGGGTAAAATGTGCATGTATGAGCAATTTTAGTGATATACTATTGCTGTCAGGTCCAGTTGGGTCTGGTAAAACGGCCACAGTCTATACTTTAGCCACAAAACATGGCATCAAAGTAACTGAATGGATAACACCTCTTGACATTGAAATGCCTTCTGAATATGGTAATGAGAATACATTTTGATATCTTCTGTTCTCTTCTTCTCTATCTTCTTAACTTCATAATACTACTTGATTGCAGGTGATTATCAAATTAGGGAATCTCAATCGAAAAAGTTCTTGGATTTTATTATAAATGCAGCAAACTTCACTTCTCTATTAGATAACAATAATAAAAAATTAGTGCTGGTAGAAGATTTTCCAAATGTATTCTTACGGACTCCAACAGAATTCACTGATATCCTTTTGTAAGATATCATCTATAAAACTTATAGTGATTAAATTTATTTGCAAGATTTTTATTACACTCTTCTGTTTCAGGCAGTACAAACATAGAGCCAAAAGTCCAATTGTATTTATTTGCTCTGAAACGCACACAGATAACAAGAATTCAGCATTCCACCTCTTTACTCCTGCCTTGAAGGAACAGTTTAATATATCTCACATAACGTGAGTATTGATTTTCTTGTATATAAATGTGTTTACATACACCGACATTTCTACTTAATTGCAGTCTTAATAACTTTTTAGGTTTAACAGTATATCCACAACAGGTCTAAAGTGCGCATTAAAACGCGCTGTTGATATAATTAGTAAAAAATTCACTTCCATGTACAACATTCCGAGTCCAGCTTTGGTGGACTCAGTAGTCAATTCATCTGGTGGTGATGTTAGGTCTGCTATACTGAATCTACATTTTGCATCATTAAAAGGTAAGTATTATTGAACCACTAAAATATTTTTTTTTCTTATGTAGCTGATAACCTTGCCTGTTCTAGGATCACAAATGGATATGGAAACAAGTGTGATACAAGAGAAAGAAGTAAAAAGTAATAAATCTAAACGAAAAAAGAATCCATCTAGTAAATTTATGTCATTAGGAAAGGATCAAACTGTCAGTATTTTACATGGCGTAGGCCGAGTTTTAAATCCAAAAAGTAAATCTTTTATAACAACTTAAAATTACTTATCAAATTTTTCACAGTAATTAGCAACTTATTATTTTTAGCTGCAACTTCTGAAGATGGCAAGACACATTTAACTCATTCCCCAAAAGATGTGATAGAACAATTTCTCAGTCATCCAAGTTCATTTATTTCGTTTTTGGAAGAGAACTATCTTTCTCATTTTTCGTGTCCTAGTGACGTGGAAATGGCAGCATCAGCACTAAGTGACGGGGACTACATGTTAGCTGAGTGGCGGGTAACTTAATTGTTCTAGCAAAATATGTATTAATTTTCAACTGATAAATTTACGGTTTTATTACCTAAAAGAAAACCTGCTTTGTTTATCCATGAATATTAAATACTACCTGTATTTTATGTGAGTAGTACACATTGAAATAAAACACTAACAGTTTAAAACGCGATATAAATAAGTTAAACTTGTTTGAAATGTTAGTGAAATTTTAACTACGACTCGTTTCGTCTCCCCATGACCACGGCTGCTGCAAAGCATGCGAAACGTCGGACTGTAGTTAAAATAAGTTTAACTAATAAACTTTCTTGGCAAATACTAATTTCATTTCCAGGAAAAGACATGTCAAGAATATGGGCTATATACAGCTGTTGCCGGTCTAATGGTTGCTAATAAAGCTCCTATATCAGCTTGGAATCCTGTCCGTGGCCCTAAAAATATGAGAATTCAATATCCGTATGTTTGTGTCATATCATAAAAATTCTATTTGTTTGATTTTATACAATATTAAAAATTTTAGAGACTGCTTTATAATTTATAGAATTAAATTTCTTTTAGGTCCCTCAAGGAAATGCCACAACTAGACAAAGATTACTTATATAAAGGAAAAGTATTGGTGGCAGACTATTCAACTTATTGTAAAATTATTGGACATAAAATAGAAAATTCTCCAAGTGTACTGTTAATTGATTAGCTCATACTAATAAAACTTAATATTTAATATATTCTTTTATTAGTAAAACATTACAAAACTTATTTAATCGGTTGACTTAATTACTTGGGCTTTGAAGCGGGATCTTGGGATCTGGGAAAAATACAATAGTAGATTAATTTCATTTATTTTATTATTGACAAAAATCTAATCTTTACAAAATAGTTCCTTGTCACATTACAAATCACTGCAGTATTTCATTGTGATCACTGATAGTTAAAATGTCAAGACCCATGCAGCCCCTTTTCATTTAGCTTTGTAAAAATAACAATTGAAATGCACTCGCTGACTTATGATCAACTCATACTTACCCGCCTCTACCATCACAGTTAAATACTCACCTTGGAGATAACTGAAGCTAACTTGACAGCTTTTGTGAAAGTGGGGTGTACTGTATCTGTGACTATAATATTGAAAAACTAACAAATATAATGTGTATGTCAATCATAATTTTAGGGTAGAAGAAAAAAAAAGTGTGTTGTGTAAAATGATACCAAACTGCTATTGTTTTATGATTAAGTTTAGAATGTCAAATGATCAAAATTAAACTCGAAAAAAGTGTAACTTTAGACTGGCTTTTTGAATGTTTGGTGTATGTTAAGCTAAATAGATTATTTAGTGAATTATTGTAAAGTAATTAGGTGCTGTAATAAAAAAGATTGTGTTTTAACGGTCGGAAGAGGATGAAGACCTTGAGCGGCGGCGACGGGCAGGCCTCGGGGAACGAGAACGTGTCTTACGCCGACGGGGCGGAGACCGGCGTCGTACCGGGCTACGACGGCGGTACCTGTACATAGAAAATGAGAAATTAATTTGTTTAGTAGTAGTTATTATTTTCTTAAAGAAACACTTGCGGCATTGTGCTTAGAAGAGAATTAGTGTTAAGTGTACCTGGGTGGTGAATGTCGTCGGGGTGGTACATGACGCGGTGGAGGTGGGCGAGGGGAAAACCGACGCGGACGCGACGGAATCAGCACCGGAGCTGCTGTTATCTCTTGTCCGTCGATCTGACCTGCACAAAACATACACAATGTTACTACTCTCAATATGTTGTTCACCTATGTACATGAGTATCTTAACTTTAGCTGATTCAAAATATTGCGTAGAATAAATTGCGATATATTATTTACCTCCGTCCATGTGCTTCATAGCATTCTCAGCTTCATCTGGATTGCTAAACTCAACATATGCATAACCTCTGCCATTGTGAGGGTGAAGGCGGTCCATAGGAAACTCAACAGCCTTCACTGTACCATAAGTAGAAAATATTTCTTGAATGTGATCACGGGAAACATTCAAAGTCAAACGTCCTATATGAATACGAGTTGGTCTTGGTGCTGGTGAACGCTCGCGCTTCTTCCGGACTGGTGATCTGGAAATATGCAGTACCGTTAATATATATAATAATAAACAAATAGATTAGTGTTAAATTTTTTGTAATGAAAAAAAGGACACAAACATTTCTTCTCATTCAAACTCAAATAGGCAGATTTTTCTTTTTCAGCCTTTAGATAGAGTTTATCAAAATCTAAAATTGTATTAAAGGTTAATTTTTCTCTTCACTTGTGCTATTCTTACCTCTCATTTTTATCTCTTGTTTTGGATTTATCTATAGATGTTGGTACTATCACATTTTTCTTATCTAAAGGAGACCTATCCCTGCCTTTGTCTCTTGTTAGGTCACGGCGGTCCTTAGCTGGGCTCTTGCGAGGTGAAATTCTGAAAACAGAGATAAACGTCTTACCATTTATTAGAACTTACCACTTATTAAGAACCGGTAAAAGTCATGCTATATTAGGTAGTGCCTACAGATTTAAGCATTTCTTTACTTCTAAATGCAAGCAGAATTACTCACTTCTTCTTTGGCCTAGATCTGTCATTAGTGCCACTGCTGCTGCTGGATGAGCTAGAACTAGAAGACGAGCGCGAGGAACTGCCAGAACTACTTGACGAAGATCTTGATGATCGTGAGGAACTGGAGTCAGATGAGCTACAATAAATAGTCAATTTAAAAATGGATAATACAAATTACATTTAAACGTCTGGTTAGCCATTAAAGTTAACCTATATCAACAGATAATTGAAGTTTTAAAATATATTTAAAACATTACCTTCCACTGCTATCGCTACTGCTGGAACCAGATTCACCTTTCTTCTTCTTTTCTTTGGGTTTCTTTTTATCTTTATCCGAAACTACCGATGGAGACTTGTTTCGCGCCCTGAAAGGAAATTATGAACCACGAATGAATAGCTTTGTCTAAAGTGAATAACATTAACAAATGTAAAATAATAAAGAAAGCCTTACATTATTTAGTGTATAATTAACGATTCTACACAAAAATAACAACGCGTCCGGCGTTACAGACAGCTATAGACAGGCGGCCATATTTATAATCGCACAATGTTTCAATGACAATTTTGTGTTTGGTGTTGCTAATGTAAATTGTCAAAGTCGTAAATATATATTAAACTTATTGTGTTTTCTTTACATTATGATTTCTTAAAGAATTGTTAAATATTAAATTAACACTATATGTATAATAAGAAAATTAGGCCTAATATAAATTTTATCAAATGTAACTACATATTTGTTATCCTTATGTTATATTTGAAATTTTACCCGTGACTCTGCTACAATAAAACTGCACGTTAAACATGCATGCCTTACAAAGTACTTATTTTGACTCGAGCAGGAGTTGAACCGGCATCGTCAGCGTTTCTGTGCTGTTGCTCTACCGACTCGGTAGCTCAATTGGTAGAGCGACAGCACGGAATCCTAAGGATGCCGGTTATAGTGCCTTCATGTGCAATAACATGTAAAAAATAATAAAGTTTTCAAAAGAACATTATTACAAAAGTACATTTAAATTTTCTTGTATGATGGTAGGTTCAGAAATCTAAAGATAAACTGAAACGTATTGCACAGTACCTACATTGAAAAACAAACAAACAACAAAGTGTTACTAGATAAACAGGAACCAAAGAGCCAGTACGTACCTTCCTTTAGTCCCTTTCCGACAAACCAGGGTAATCACTCGTTTAATATGGCCTTAATAACACAGTGTGTGGAGCCATAAGCACCATGCTGTGTGACACGACAGTCACATTAACGCTGCTGGTAACTTTCCTCCTTGCTCCTTACATCTCACCCGTCTGTGACCTCTTTATAAACAAAATAAATACTTATAAAGACGCTACATCTATATGTAGTATTTTAAACAAATGTTTATAAATTCGGGGCTTTGAAACAGTCTTCTTAAACTACCTTAAAAAAGTATTTTCATCTTCACTATTTTAAAAACAAGCAAATGTAGTCCTGCAGTACTGTACTGTAAAATTGTAAGCCAATAGAATAAGACGAATTGTTTGAACTCAAAAATAAATCACTAGTATTCTTTTCTTAGTAAATTAGTACTTTGAAAATTGGTTTTGGGATCTGATGTTTTGTTTTATCTTGAAGTTCACAACTTCACTGGATGCCATAAATCAGACAGTTTTATGATGTAGAGAAGAGGTGTCCGAAGGCCTTCTTGGTTATTATATTGCTTATCGAAGGTCTTTCTATAAATACCTACACGGCCATCCAAAATGCAATCTTTTCGTGATTTTTGTTTTAAATCAAGGTATAGATGACAAAATGTTTTGTTGCGCCAGCTCTAGTTCAAAATATTAGAAAAGCCTTTAAATTGGGTAAAATTCTATTATTATTTGATTTAATGTCTGTCATTAGTGAGTTTTTATATCACCAGTCTGAGAGTTGCGGGGTCGATAAACCACGTCACTACAGTGGACGTCATAATATATGAAATATGGTAGTTAATAAAGACGGAAAACAATATCATGATACTCAGGTATAATAAGTATATAATATGATAGCGGTACTTTATGGGATTAAATGGTACAGATAACTTCTGTTTATAAAGTTGAAACAAATGTTTTGTATACACGCCCCAGTATAATCGCTGGTACTTGTACGATTATCTCAGCAAGAATAGTGATAGGCATAATTTGAATTTACCAAATAAGGATAACCAAATAATATAATACATTGCCAGTTGAGGTTTCAAATTGATCGATAAATAAATTTTAAAAAGTTATAAAATTTAGATTGTCTCAAAAGGCGTATTATTGTCTGAACGATTTCTTTAATGACAAGACCGCCTGGCAGTAATATGAATTGCTCCTTAGGTTAATAAATTCACAACAATGTATTAGTTTATAAGACATGTTAAAAAAAATGACTGACTTTCTAAGGTAGAACACTCTCAGTTATGTTGCTCTTTTGAACACTTTGTAGAATCACGACGAACAGACAGAAAACATTTGACGAAAATAAATATATATTTTTTAATTTTAAAAAGAGTAAAGTATATTTTATTTTATAATAAGTACGATTACAGTTCTAATCGTTAAAAAAATCATAGACTTCTTTATTAGGAAGGCTTTATTAAGAACCATTTTTCTCTGGAGGTAATTACTATCTTTGAAATATTCGCTACTCTACTAAGTTTGTTCGTACAGGTAAAGATTATTTATCATATCGTAAGTTAAAGCCGTTATTATTATATTAGCATTATTAAATTATATTATTATATAAACCGTCTTCAATAGTAGTAAAAATATATTTGTTTCAGGTATTAAGTATTTCTTCTTTATTTAAAATTATGTTATAGTATAAAAAAATAAAATGGTTTTTATGTAATGTTTAAAAGCGCATAGCTTTTAGCTGTTAAATTATAGTCGTGCACTGGTGCATGTTTAAAAGTTTTCACTGCGCGTCCTTTTCAGGCAGGCTCCTATAAAGGCAACGGCGGTCCTGCCGCCCCATATTAGGCGTTCTGCTTCCGCGCGGGACAAACAACTCCTGTGCTCATTACTTTCAAAAGTTTTTAACTGCTCATATATCAACAGTTCTACATCAATATTAATTAAGGTAAGTAAACCACTTAATATATGTTTAAAATAAAAAACTTGGAGATAATTATTGTTATAATTTTTGTAATTAAATATATTTTTTAAATTATCAATGTACTAATTTTAGACACTTTCACACTGAATTGTTTTATTTAAATTATAATATTTTAGAATAGGTCCAATTGTGACAATTTTATAAGTGTAAAAAGGAAGTGTGCCTCATCTTTGACATTTTAATTATTAAGTGAGATTTTCTTTAATTTTTAAAGAGAGAATTTTTGTAAGCATTTTATGATATAAGCTGTACTGTACTTTACAAATTCAGACAAAAGTTTCGAAACTTAACTATTAACACATTGAAATAGTTTTAGTAAATGAAATTGTGCTACTTTTAAATATTAATTTTCATTGATTATTACAATGATGATTGACAAAATACTCCTAAACTCAACTTTTACGCAAGCGTCCGCGTAATCCGTAGACTACGGCTACGCGCTCGTAGCACCTCTAAGCTTTCTACATGGAGCCTTTAATCGTAACGAAACAATATCGCTTAATATAAACATGAGTTATGCCATTAAAATTCTAATAGTGGCGACACATTTTTCTATTACTCATTATATTTTAAAACAATTGAGGGTTATTAAAAATAGGAGCAACACAATATTAATTAGTTCGCTAATGCAAAGCTTAGCTTAGCTCACTTATGCAGTATATGAGAAAAAGGATAAAACCGCGCGATCTAATTTTATAACAAACAAAGTGGTGATGCACGTGTCTTGGGTTTTTTTATAAGCATATAGAACCTCTTTATGGTTATAAAAATACAGAAGCTCAGGTTACATTCGTTTAATTATTAAATTAATATTTCGAAACTATTGTTTTTGTACTATTGTAAACGGTTTAATTAGATTTAAAATAATAATAAACATATCGAATATAATATTAATACGCTTTAACACTTTACTTTTATTATTTTTTTAGATTATATTAATATAGCTTTGTATTGCTTTTTGTAGACGTTATTGATTTAAATAAAACACTTTAACGGTTTAAAACGCGATATATTAGTTAAAAATCATTTTCAAATAAGTTTAACTAATATATCGCGTTTTAAACCGTTAAAGTGTTTTACTCGCGTAAACTATAGACAGTTTTAAATTTATTGATATTGTGTTTATCATCGAAAGACATATTACAAATGCACAAACAAGTCATGACTGAGAAAAAAGTTCCAACGCCTTTTAGTTATCGGAATTCCGACTAATAAACGAGGATTCCTTCTGTTTTAAATGTAAAAATTGTTAGTTCCGTATAAATACTTCCATAGCCCAGTCACGCGAAAGTATGCAGAAAATAACCTATGTGAAGTCAGTGTTTCAAAATAATAATTATTACTGATATGCATTATAATAATAGTAATTAGATAATTTAGAATCTGTGCTAAACAATAATCTATAATAGAATATTAAGAAGCAAGCCGATCAATAAAAAATGTTACAATTAACTAAAACTTAGCGGGAATATTAATTGATTCGAATGCGAATGCCTGAAAATTTATCCAATATATTATTTAGTTTCCGGAAGTTTCATAAACTAAATGCCTGTTAAAATATCAGCAGCAGGCAGACACATTCATATGTCCGTTACATACGAATACGTCTGCCCAATGATGCACGTAGCGATAACAGGATGTGTCCCGTTTCCCCTATGTATTTTACTACCATCTTAATATATAGCGCAAAATTTCATGGCAACATAAAACATTACAGAAAACAATTATTTAAAACGCGGTCAACCATGAAAAGAGATCGGCACGGACAGTAAAGTGGTCCAGCAATAAACAAGTTTATCCATACTCGTAAATAACTGTGTCATTCGTCCTTTATCTTTCAAAAAGGACTATAATATCAAATAACGTCGTAAGACCGCTGTCAATGCTTGGGATATTTGCTGGATTACCACTTATCTCCGAAATGGTAAATATATTTGCAGAGTGTTTTGCGCAAGTTAGAAATAGTTGAGAATACTAAACGTCCAAGTTGTCTTGCAAATATAATACAAATTTACACTATTAAATTAAAAATCGATTATAAATTGAAAAGAAATTACGTGCCGTTGCTTTAACCAATTGAGCTACCGAATCCTAAGTCCTTTTATATACGAGAAATATTAAAGTTTTAAAAATAAAAAATGAGTTCATCTCACTGTGTATAAAATAAGTTTCTTACTATTTTACTTTACCATACTAGTTGTCCAAAATTAAATGATCCCTAAAAAGGTGCAATAACTGAAGTGAATTGAAATTTTGAAGGTGTTACTTCACATGTAGTGGATCAGACTCCTATATCCCATCTAATTGAAACCAATCTTCGGGATTCAAATCAGGGATCTTTCATACTTAATACACTGCTAGGTAACACGTTCCATCATTGAACTATGGAGATGATTTGTATTATCAGCACCTATTTTTGTCACAAAATTGCTCAGTAGACAGCAGGGACTCACTGAATTGATGAATGTGAACAAACGACTTCGTTATAACGTGATACAATGAGGATGCCGACCTCGATTCTCAGGTTTTTGCTATAAATCTTATAAATTACTGAATTCTCATATTTCGCTTTTGCGTCTTCAAATATTTATATTATAACCACTAAACCAGAGTTTCTGGACTTTATGAGACTCTTTTATGTAGTATTACTATTACTATTATTTTTTTGACACTCAAACGTTGTATTAGAAAAATTGCTAACATCCTAAAAATTTCTTATAAAGTTAAAAAATAGTAAACTTCTAAAAAGAGTTAAGAAAAAGACAACTTCTCGATTGAGCTATCGAAATCCAATTGTACCTTCTGAGATCTGTTTTATTTAATTATGCAAACGGTAACAACTATTTATGTAAAGTTTTAATGCGCATTAGTTATTTACTTAGTTTCTTAAGTTGCCACACAAGATAACTAGGAAAATTTTGCTAATCGTATCTAAAATGTAATAATAAGTAAAACTTAAAAAAACAAATAGGGTTTTATACTAAGAACTTGGAACATGACAACTTTTATGGTATAAGTAAGGTAAATCATTTTTCATCTTAACATATGGGAAATGATCTATCGCTCCTTAATTAAAAGATAATATTAAAAGCTTACCTAAACACTTTTCAGCATCGTGTAATGTCATCAAGATGATGTCGCTACCTCTCATCATATCAGTATGTGTTGCCCTGGCTTCAGCATTCCCAGCATCAGTTAAGCTTGATGAAGACTATCCAAGAGTTGACTTGAGTAATCTACAAGAAGTAAGTATTGTTGAGGAATTGTAATTATAGAATCGTTTATATTTGTGCTTTATTTAGTAGTTCACTGTAAAAATATTTAATTTCCGTAAGGCTTCGGTTTAATACTGTCTATAGATTACGCGAGTAGTACACATTTAAATAAAACACTTTAACGGTTTAAAACGCGATATATTAGTTAAACTTATTTGAAAATGATTTTTAACTTCGGCCCGACGTTTCGGCTGCTGCAAATCATTTTCAAATAAGTTTAACCAATATATCGCGTTTTAAACCGTTAAAGTGTTTTATTTAAATAGGCTTCGGTTTCATTTCGGCATTTCGGTTTCGATCTGCAAATTTCCGAATATCCAAAGACAAAAATAGGACGACAACGCATCTTGTTTAGATGTTATATGGCTTCGGTATTCCTCCTATAATAAAGTGAACCACATGGCCTTGCCCTTTTTAAGCCTACTACTGTCCCACTGCTAGACACAGGTGTCATCACTCTTGGTAAAGATTATTGATGACTAAGATCCCCTGCGGGAATCCACTGCCATCATTATATCGGTAATAAGAACCAGTCTTGAAATATGTATGCTTTACGTGGTGGATCCCTTTACTCCCAAACTCCGAGGAAAGAACTGGAAATTGTCTCCGGCCGATCTAGAATTGGAACTTTGAAACCCATAATGTGGAGTCGAGTGTAGCAATAAACCAACAAGGTAGAATAACAGTGCTTATATGCTACTGAGAAATTAATTATTTACTAAATCTTAAATTATAGGGACGCTGTATTAATGACAATCGTTAAAAGTTTCGGCATCACACCTTTATGCTGTAGTAAAATAAATGTTTTAGTCTACATTTAAGTCACCAGCTACTTTTGTAAATATACAATAAGATTATTTCCCAATTATGTTGTTATGCTTTACACAATATTTTTGCTTTTGAATGTCAACACATATAATCTACTTTCCTTGAGATATCATAAGATACTTAGTTTGAAGGCCTCGAAGGCTTTCACGCCTTTTTCCTTGATATGTTCTGAACATGTATTTCATATACAATTTTACTACTATTCACACTGCTACTCCTTCATTCCTCAATGGACAAAAGGCATAGATTTAAGTGCTAGAGGTTCTGAGCTGGGGAAAAATAATTTATTTCAGAACTCTTGATGATTATATCGATAAATGAAACAGACACAGCTATGTATCAGCCCCATGCTCCATGTTAGGAAAACAAATATTTACAAAGTGAACTGATTAAGACGTTAAATTAAAGCCTTAAATGAATATTATGTTATAGAAATAAAACGTATAATATTAGTTCACTCCTTTTTAATTGATTGTAACTACAGCCAGATGTTTCGTATACTTTGCAGCCATGGCCACGGCCCGTTAAAGATCGTACAACTAATGGAAAATGCGTGTGGGTGCTATTGTATTATATTTTGATACTTAACGCCGTGGAACATTCCTAAAATTTGCGTGTCTCCACTTTCTACCCTTCGTCTTAGATCTTGTGCACTCTTGCGTCGTTACCGCATTCTTCAAAACGTCTCTTTGTTGCAAAGTTATTCAGATAAAAGAGTCAGTCCCTTGACCTTAATTACATTGGGGATCCAACAGTGACCATGACTCGTATCACAAGGAAACACATTTGTAGGAGTTGATAAGTTTTCCTCGTACCCTTTGAAATCTTGTTTTATGAGCAACAGCTAGAAAGATATGCGAACAATATCATGGAAGCCTTTATCGTTTGTATTGCTGGTAGAAGTTTAGTCTTATTGTCTACAGTCCTTTAGAGGTCATGTACCGCCGTGAATAATACACGTTTATATTAAATGTTTAATTCTGTCTTTTTGACCAAGTCAGTGCACTCGGCTGCAGATCACTGTTTCAAATCCTAGGTCAGGAGGGAGAAATTTAGGATACCAGCCCAGAGCTTAGAAGGAGGCTTTCGAGAGTCATTAAGTTACTAACGGTTGTCATCATTAATTTTGTGACGTAGTCATTCAAGTCCGTAAAGACACAAACTGCTTTTAAAAGAGAGGCCTATGGTAGATTTATACATTGAATCGATTTTTTCTATATTTTAAATCCGCTTAGATTAAATAATTTTAATGCACGAGCGGTACTGATGCCTCTGACCCCAGCGTTGAGTGCTCTCACAAACTTATATACCATATCCCGTTCTTGTTTAAAGCGTCGAAAATTATTATTTTCGATAAATAATTCACATTCTGCTTAATCTAGTAACGTGTCTCCCAAATATGCTGACATTGTAAGTCACTAAGTAATTGTTTTAGTGTCAGTAAGTAGCTACTTTATCTACTGTTGTAAGTAACTTGAGTGAAAGTTGAGTTTGAGTAGAGTTCAAACACAAGTAATAGCTTGAAAGCGATTAATAATCCTTTACATTTTCAGGAGAATTACTTTGTACCCCAAAAGAGAGCAGCCCTAGTACTGGATCGTCTTCTTGTGGCGTTACAGAAGGCGTTACGTGAAGAATCCACGCCGCGATTTGATCCCGAACGTGATGGACCCCGAACTGCGCCGCTAAGATTAGCTCATTATGATGGTAATGATTTGGTAAGTTACACATACGTAGATGATGACGTAGACTATAACTGGTTATTACGAAAAAAGTAATTAGCCAATAGGTCTTCATGGTGCCAACCTCTGCGATTCTCTTTAATATTGTATTTATTTAAATACTGTCTGTAGTTTATGCGAGTAGATTTAAATAAAACACTTTAACGGTTTATAACACGATATATATTGGTTAAATTTATTTGAAAGTTATTTTAACTGTGGGCCGACGTTTCGAATGCTTTTAGCAGCCGTGGTCATGGGGAGACACCGAAACGTCAGCCCACAGTTAAAATAACTTACAAACACTATTAACTAATATATATCGCGTTTTAAACTGTTTTTTTAAATATTTATTTATTTACTCCGTTTAAAGTAGTATATACATTACTTTTTGTGTGATTTATTCCTTACATTCGTATGTGTTATATTTCGTTATCATTCTGGGTTGTCTGTTAAAGATCTTGTTAGGGATAAGGTGGCCTATTTCACTCCATTTTAGTATTTACGTTTCGTTGGACACAAGGTATTGATTCACGGAATTTCTTAGCATTTACAAGTAACCAATTACCAATCAAACCCTCGTTTACCAGAAAAACAAATTAAAAGTTAATGGAATCTTAAAGAACTGGGTTTCGACCTATATATTCTGAAGACCACTTAATTAATTCAATTAGGACATTTCCCATCAACTGTTACGCATTGAAATAAATTATTGTTGTGATACGATGACTGTGATAATACGGGTTTGTCCTAGAATTAAAATTTGACATTATCTGCGTCATCTAACAATACTTGTTTCTGCGTATACCTCCAGTAGCTATAATATGAGGCTGCTAGAGGCAGAGTTAAGTGGTGGCCAATAATAAAAAACATTATGTTGACTAAGGAAAAAAATAAAAATGCGCAATTGTCGCTCCTATTGGACGCAGCGTGATAGTCTAAAACCTCCCTCGATACTAGCTCTAACACAAAATATTGTTTTAATTTGAACCAGAACTTTCTGAGATTTCTTTATATTTCACAAAAAGAGTACGTTTATTTTTCTCGACGATTAATTATTTAGGGATCCATTCTGTATCCATTCCATAGTAGTAACTAAACAATTGAATCTAGAATAGTATTGGATAGCCATTCGGTTATTGTATATATATTAGGGAACGATGATATATGCAGGAGAATATTAATGACTTTTTGGTTTTATTTTTAGACGGGACTACAACGCCGTGGTCAAGGAAACCGCGGTCGAGTACTCAGATGTTATTTCAACGCAATAACTTGCTTCTAACACCAGTTATAGGGTATCATTTTCTTATAAGTAATTATCGTCCATTTTTCTTATATTAATTTAATAATAAAATAAGTTCTTATGAATGATACTAATTATGTAATTTTTTAAAGAAATAATTGTAAGATCTTGAAGTGTGAACATTATTTTCATGATTTTTGTAAATCATCATTGCTTTACTTTTTATATATTCTGAAACGATCTTTATAACTAAGGCCTATGTTGTTAAAAATTCAATTTAAACTCAAGAATTTCGCTTAATGGAAACAAGACTACTTGATGGGGTGAATCTAGTTTTTCGTAATAAAAATTTAATCAATACATATTAATTAAAATTATATTACAATATTAGTTTATACATAAATATAAATGTTTTTGTTTTTCTAAACTAGCTAAATCTGTACTTGATCTTCCCTGTATGTTAAATTGAAAGCTTATAAGCAGTCATATCACTAAATTATAATGTGCATAATCTATGAATTATTTTAATTATCTTTTGAGAATTATACAAAAATAAAACTACGTTTGTTTTATTTCAACCGATACGAAACCTGTTCAAGATTGGGAATAACGGATAATGTTTTATTTGTTTAGATAAGCTTAACACAAACTTTGCGTTTGTTCAAGTAACAAGGACATGCCACATCAATAAATATCAATAAAGTTTTACGAATCCGAAATTAAATACAAACAAGAACACGTTTTTGACGAGACGTATTCTAGATGAATTGTTTACTAATGTTCTAAATAAAATTGAGAAGTGCTTACCCATGTTGTGAGTGAGCTTTTGTATTTTATATTAAGCAGTTAATTGTTGAATTGTATTAATTACATGAATAATCAAGTACTTATTAAAATTATTCTTCTTCAAAAGATTGGACTGGAATTGGGTCTGATGACATAAATTGAATTATTGTTATTATTAGCAACATTATTAAATTCTAACAAAAGATTTATTCTGTTTTATAACATTATCGTGATTTATCATATTCCATGATATTTTTTTACTATGATGTTTAAAACACCACCTATTCGTTGATGCTTGTATGTAGCATTTAAAACGGCAAACTTCCCTCGTAAATTGTCAGTCTTTTAGTTCCATATTGTTGTTGATAGATGTCACTTTAAAATCAGTGAGTCAAATGTATGAAAAAATGTTATTATAATTTAAATAACATTCTGCATAGTTACAGAACAACGCAACAGATTAATATTTTTGTTCTTTATATTTTAAGACAAAAAACCTTTTTACTGAGTTTATGTGTACCATAATATAAGCTAAATAATAAAATAATTGTTAGACAATAAGTAGGTATTATCGGTTTATGATTCTATTCATTTTCATTACCATCCCACTGTTAAGATGGTCCAGTGTTGTTTTACAAGCTGTATTATATATTAATTTATACATTAATTGTATTTATAAAATGTATTATTCAAAAAGGAAGTAAAGAAAATCTCAAAATAAAACTCGCCAATAACACGCCACCTATAAAAAGTGTGTAGCAGAAAATACAAAAAAGAAAACTAATTGAAAACTAGTTATCTTAGAGCTCTTTTTAATCGAAGTCTTTATTTGAAGCCGACACGTGCTATGGCTATATTACAAGCGAGCTCTGTGTCACAATAACTGAGATATTTCTTTATGATACTAACAAATGCGGCCGCAGCTGAATAGCGGCATAAAATCAATGTTGCAGATGTCAGTTTTACACAAATATTGAAATAGAGAATTGATATACAAGAATATTGCGGACTCTATTGTCTGTTAACGCGTCTTTTACCTTTTAAGAATTACTTATTGTGTTGAATATTAGCTGTTTTGATTCAGAAAGGGATGGAATTCTAGTTTAGTAATTTAGATTAAAAAAATAATGACTCGATCAGTTTCCGAACTCACGACGGCGTACTGTGCTGTTTACATAAAGAGGGTAGCTCCATGGAGCCGGAAGGACCAGATGTGGTTGCGTTGGGGGATCGCCCATATATTTTTTTTTATCTAAAATTGATTTTCACTTTACATGCGAGTCCCTGAGTTCCTTAATTTTCAAATGTATTTTAATGAAGCATTCTCTACACCATGCTAAGCCGTAGCTATCGCTACGCGGATATCTACGGCTTCTTGTTTAATACCTTTAAAATATCAGTCACAGTTATTTAAAAATCATAATTAGATACTGTCCGTAGTTTACGCGGGTACATATTTAAATAATACATTTTTACGGTTTAAAACGCGAAATTTATTAAATTTTACAAATTATTCTAACTATGGCCCGACGTTTCGGCTGATTTGGAGCCGTTCACGCTTTAAACCGTTAAAAGTTTCTAAATAGAATCATAATTAGCTCATATTTAGAAGACATAAATTATATTGCGATGAAATGTTGTTTTGATGTATAAAAATGTCTAATCAGACAGTCAACTGTATTTATTTGATAATGTGAACACACAACTAACCTCTAAACAATTTGAAATTTGATCTTCAGTCACGAGCCAAAAATATATAACATGTTTGCATTTTTCTTACGTATTATAAGTTAATGTAGAGGACTTTAAACACACTAAGGCGCTAATCCAAGAACGATAACTATTTTTTTATTTATTATTCACAAATATTTGTTCTATATTGATACGTTCACTCCAATCTCACGTTAAGAAAATTATATTTTTTTTACAACTAAAAGATAACACAAGCCATTTGAGAATACTTAAAATTGTTTCGTAAGTTACTCTATTTCACACAAGACTAAGTTCATGCAAGACTGCAATGAATAAAAATACTATAAACGTGGGCGATAGTCCCTGAGGTTAATTATGGTTATATTAAAAATCTTTTTGAGTTAAATAGCTATTAAAATAACTACAATTGTCCTTCGTCAGCTATTAATACTATATATTATATATATATATATATTAGCACAAAATTAGAAACAAGTATATATATAGAAAATAAATATTAATATTCCTATATTATCATCATGTCATTTGTTTTCTTATTTACATAGGGAAATATTAGAATGTAGAAACGATTTATTATTGATGAATACAAGTATCTTCTCACCTCAGAAGAAACAATAACTTAAACTTACGGAATCACTTTTTCATTTTTTTTTAATTTATTGCTTTTTTAATGGTGGAAGAGGAATTATAACTGCTTATTTGCATTTGAAAAATACTCTAGTCATATTTCCCATAAACATTGATTACAAATAAAAATATAGACAAGTGAACTGTGTACTATGATCAAAATAACTTCCCTTAAGTCTTAAGAAAACTGATAGTCATAATAAAACTCGGCCAAACTTTTGGGGTAAGCGATTATAAGACTAGAAACTTTACAATATCAACTAGAAGGTTGTTGCAAGAATTTGATCTAACAAGAAAACATGATTTATCATTCTTAAGCGTATCTGGGGCTACCTAAAAAGGCTTGCTCGGGCTCTTTATCTAATCCGCCGAAGTGTACTTTCATACTTTCTTCTGCGTAGGTAGTCCCCTAATCCTTTAGAATAACTAGGAAATTAACCTTTTATCCTAAAACTATCGAGAGTCCTATATAAACACTGCATTACCGCTGCCAAAGAAGTAAATACTCTAAGGAAAATTGTCATGTGTATTTATTTATTAAAATTTTTAAACTTACAGGTAAAAATAGACTACACAATTAGAAAAAATAGAGAGCTAATAACTCTTAAATTTCTTGATGACCGAGAAAGGCTAGCACGATACCTACTTTGACATTCGAAAAGAAACCCAACGAAAAAAATAACCGTAACATTTTATAATGTTTCCTCGGGATTCAAACCGCGGACCTCTACCGCTTAGTGCTTAAGACAACACGTTTTAGCATTGAGCCACAGAGACAGTACATCGATAATTTGGTATATGAATAAAATTTAATGCGAGTTCACAGTTTTAGGAATTGCTTTTGGTATTCGCTTTAAATACAGGAAAACCAACATGTTATTAGTCATTTAAATAAAACACTTTAACGGTTTAAAACGCGATATATTAGTTAAACTTATTTGAAAATAATTTTTAACTTCAGCCCGACGTTTCGGATGCTTTGCAGCAGCCGTGGTCACGAGGGAGACGTTAAAGTGTTTTATTTAAATGTGTACTACTCGCGTAAACTATAGACAGTATGTTATTAGTCAGTTCTATAAAATAATTTTTAATGTTCAATGTAAGTAACAACGTTGTTAGCGTGACACTATCAAGGCTTGAACGTTACGCTGAGCTGCACTCGATCATAGCATAGTGTTACAACTCGTAATAAAAATAGGAACTTGTTTTGTGATTAATATGTGAAAAACATTGTTCTTCGATCCAATTTATTTTTAAACTATCTATGCCCGTGACTTCATCTCTGTGTAATTGTTATTTTTGGCATTTTATATATTTGCAAACAACCTCCTAAGCTTAGCTTTGTCGTCTAATTCAATAAAAAAAAATTCTTTAGTAGATAGTTCTTTTATATAAATCCCCCAATGATGAATATTTTTTCTCGTTTTTTCGACATTTCCTTTTGATCCTTCACGCCTATTGGTCGCAGCGGGCATGGCTTGATAAATAATCCAAGGAACAAAATTCGAAGCTGTTCGTAAGATTAGCTTCAGCTTTATAATATTAGTATAGATTACTATCCTTTCACGTGTGGTCTTAGCCTTCTGGCTACACACGTGACAGTTTCGCATGTGTCAGCAATTTTGTTTCATTTGCTTAGAGCCAACGTTGCAACCTAGTAATGCTGTCTGTGAGGTTTCCTGTTGCAAAGGTTCGGCTTTAAAAGCTTACCGACATCGCTACCTCAGTGTAGGTTGGCGTGCTTTTACAGAAAATTATTAAGCCCGACGGTTTAACATGCCTTTCTGAAAATCGAACCACTTACTTCCTGATATGCTGTGTTTTAACCACTATTAGTTACTATAGTATTTATTTAACTTAATTTAGTAGGAAACAGAAGGTAAAAGCCTTTGTTGTTGTATTAAGTGAAGACA